CGGAGCCGCGTCGGTGTGCACGAGTGTGGCACGGAGCCGCGTTGGTGCGTACGAGTGCCCCACGGAGCCGCATCGGTGTGCACGAGTATGGCACGGAGCTATGTTGGTGTGCATGAGTGTGGCACAGAGCTGCGTCAGTGTGTACGAGTACGGCACGGAGCTGCGTCGGTGTGCACGAGTGCCACACAGAGCCGTGTGGATGTGCACCGGTGTCGCAGAGTTGTGTCCGTGTGCACAAGTGTCACACGCAGCCATGTTGGTGTGCACGAGTATGGCACGCAGCCATGTCAGTGTGCACGAGTGCCACACGGAGCTGTGTCAGTGTGCACACTTGCCCCTTGCACTGGGCCGTGCATGCATGCACAGCGGTTGCATGGAGCCATGCCAGTGACCACGCTTACGCAGGTGTTGCACAGGGCTGCACACGCATGGTGCGGTGCAGTGCTGGCACGCCTCTGCTGGCACACAGGTCTGCGTGGGTGCAGGGGAGGGACCGATTCGGGAACTGACGCACGAAGCAGGGACTGTGGCAGGGAGGGGGTGGCACGAGCAGCCATAGGATGCCTCTGTGGGGTGAGAGGTCATTTCCCTGGGCCTGGTAATGGCAGCAAGGGAGAGGAGGCGCATATAGCCTCAGGACTCCTCACCCATCTTCACGTCTGTCCCACTTTGCTCTGCAGAAGCTGCTGGCTGAGTGCCAGGACCAGCAGTGGTGCCAGTTCTCGGTGCATAGCCAAGTCTTCGGGCTGGATCCGTGCCCTGGAACACACAAGTACCTCATTGCTTCCTACAAGTGCCGGCCAGGTGAGGTGGAGCAGGTCTGGGCAACGCCGTGTGAATTCTTCCCTGGCCTCGGCTGCTCAGAAAGGGGCAGAGAGGGGAGCTGAGCTGTTCCTGTATTTTGCAGCCCTCCTTCAGCCCTGCCCTTGGCAACTTGCAGACCCTTGGCTAGGCTAAGGGAGCAGGGCACTGCAAGTGATTTGGGATGGCTTGGGACAGCCTGTGGTGTCACTTTGCAGGGAACCATCGAGTCAAGACTGTGTGTGAGAATGACAAGCTGAGGCTGCAGTGCCGACCAAAATCCATCCTGGCCATTTATTCTGCAAATTATGGACGATTCCTGCGGGGCAAACCAGAGTGTGATGTCCTGAACACTGGGGGACCCCATATAGGTAGGCTGCAACTGTTCAAGCCAGAAATGGGGCCAGGGACCATGCAGAGAGTATGGCACAAGTACACAGTGGGGCTGTACGTGTGGCCCTTAGCCCTAGCCGGCTGGTGCCTAGCAGGCAGGGGCAGGCAGGTCTGCCCGCAGGTCCATGACCCATGTCTTTGCAGAGTGTTTGGCCCCGGATGCCCTGCGGAGGGTCTCCAAGAAGTGCCACCGCAAGGGAAACTGCACCGTGGCTGCTGACCAGGCCACCTTTGGGGACCCATGCCTCCCGGGCACAAAGAAACAGCTGCGAGTCTCCTATACCTGCGGTGAGAGCCACCCGTGGGGGTCGAGACGTGGGGGCCACCGGTTGAGCGCCTGCTGTGCCCACCACATGCCATGCAGGCAGGGACACGGGGCTCCCTGGGGAGGCAGGGGGCTGCTGGGGAGTAGCCGGGTGGTGATGTTCCGTGTGTGCTCTCCTTGCAGTGCCCAAGCAGCTGCTGGAGGAGGTGGGCCCTGACACCTCAGACCCCTTCCTGCTCTCGGACTACATGCACGGTAACACTGGGGCAAGGCAACACCAAAAGCAGTGCAGCATCATGTCCACACTCTGGTGAACCACCCCTTCCATGGCCTGTCTGTGTCTGTGGTCCCCACCACTGACACGAGCCCTGCAGCGCCATCCCAGCATCGCTGCCTGGTGGCTGAAGCCACCAGTCGGGCAGTGCCCATGTCTGAGGGGCTGGAGAGATGTTGTCTACTGGGAGCAGGGGAGCATCCTTGCAGGCAGAGGAGCACTTGTGCAGGAAGGAAGGAGTGTGGTGTGGGGAAGGAGGCAGGCAGGGGCAGGCAGCCAGGCAGCGGGGCACTGGGGAGCACCTCGTGTCTCAGCCCATATCCCCTTGTTCACTGCAGGTGGTTGGTACAAAGGGCCCAGGTTCTCCAGGCTCCGGGAAGACCGGATGATTTTTACTAGCTCTCTGGCAGCTTTTGCCCACCTTTGGGGTACGTGCCCTCCCCGTCTCTCACGCAGCACCTAGGGAAGTGAGATGGGCTTTGGATGGTGCCTCAGGTCCCATGACCCCTGCTTAGCCCAAAGCTCTGCTCAGAGGCAGCAGACTCCATGGGCAGGGTCAGCAGGCACGTGAGGGAGGAGGGCACCAAGCAGCCATTCTGGGTTTGGGAGGGCACATAGTGCAGGAGCTCGGAGGCTGTACAAGACCTGAGGTCCCGCAGCATCGGTGGTCGTGGTGCTGCTGCAGTGCTGCCCATGGACCTTCCTTCTCTGACGGGCTGAATTACTCACTGGGTCTGCTTCCTGCCCTGTCTGCAGGGGCACTGACGGAGAGCACCTCTCTGTGGGCAAAAATTTCCCTTTCCAGGGCAAATTACTCGTTTAAATCCCTGATTGGATGATTCCTCCCTCCGTGCTGCCTACCCCGCATCCCAATGAGGGTTTCCTATTGGTAAAGGGGCATTTTGGGACACTGGTGGGTGCTGAGGAGGCTCTGGGTGACACTCCCACAACCACTGGGGCAGGGTTTGTCCTGCCCCTGCAGCATATGTGCTGAGAGCATCCCTGCTCCCCTCTTCTTCCTCTTACATGCCTGGCAAAGGGGGGTTTCCAGGCACTGGTACCCCACAGGCAGCAGAGGCAGTTTGTACCCTGGTTCTCTTTGCTCCTCACCCTCCAGGCGTCCCAGAGAAAGTTGGCCTCTACTTTCTTTGCGGGGTCTCAGGAGGCCTCATGCTCCTGCTGTGCATCATCAGCCCCAAAACAACCTTCCTCCAGGAGGTGGGGGAGGCTCTCAAAGACCCAGAGCTGGGGAGCAGCTCGGAGCTGAGCAGGACCAAGCTGCGGGACGAGCAGGACGAAGACCTTCCCGATGACAGCTCCTCGGACTCTTCCTTCCGCCGCCTCACCCGCACCTACCGAGCCACTGACAGCATCTTCGGCCCTGAGCTGACAGCAGCCATGGAGGGAGCAGTGGAGCACCAAGGCCGCAGCGGGGAGGAGATCTGGATGCCCAAGGAATCAAGCCCATATGCCATCCACAAGATCAAATCAGCCACCAAATAAGAATTGGAAGAAAATGGCCAGAGAACAGTGGGGGCAGAGGCTAAGTGGGATCCAACATCAGAGAGACACAAGAGTTAGGGCTCCTCGGGGTGAGTGGACATCCCGAGCAGCAGCAGGGCTATGGCAGCCCCAGTGTGGCCATCAACTCACTGCTCCACCAGCCTGGAAACCTCTAACCTGGGGGTAAGATGCTGTCTCTGGGTGCAATAAGGGGCTGTAGGATGGCTCACGGGGCCGCTGGCTCCTTTGCCACAAACACACCGCTAACCCTAAGCTAACCTCCCATTCTCTGCTCACATTGGCTGGCTCTAGTGCTTAATCCTGCTCAGCCATGCTGAACCCACCCTGAGTCTTTCCAGGCTGTTTACTCCTGTTTCTTCTCCGGTGCTGGCTTCCACGCCTGGTGCTGCAAAAAACTGTCTGCACTCAGGCAGTGTGCTGGTGGTGGAGATGCAAGAATGGCCAGGACGCAGGGAGGATGCAGGTGGAACAAGTGCGAGAGCACTGCAAGCATCATCCAGCACAGCCCTACCACACCACATGCCTTGCAGCCTTGGTATCCCCAGGGGAGCTGCACCGCGGGGCTGGGGGAGCTGGCAGCTTGGCACGGCACTGGCTCTCACCTCCCTGCAGGCGTTTGGGAGCTGTCACTGTGTGTTGCTCTGTGCTTTCCTGGAGTTAACTTGCTGGGGCTTTTTCCAGTAAATAAAGGTAACAGCTTGTAGACACAAGTTCCTCCCTGACCTCTGCCATTAATAGTGAAAAGGGAGAAAAAAGGAAGCAGTGAAGCTCAGCCCTCCCTGTGCGGATCAGCTCCTTGCCTCCTGTTGGTGTTTCTGGCACTGGGCCGTGAGGAGCAACAGGTTGAGCTTGTTTTATCACGGGAAAGGATGAGGTTTTAGCCTGGGGAAGGGAAAGGGAGGAAAAGCAGTCCATGTGGATCCCATGAACGATGCTTCCCTGCCCTTGGTCCTTCTCTGGAGCCTGAGCCTCTGTCTGGTAAGCAATCCTGGAATGAATGTCCCCAGATACCATGCAGAGGGGCTTCTCGGCAGCCCCACAGTGCCAGGGAGCTGGGGTGGGTCTGGGGGCTGCTCCAGCTCTGCAAAGCAGCACGTGCTGCTGCAGTGCTGCAGGAAGTGGCTGAATGGAAGCAGCAACCTCGATCTTCTCA